GTCAAGTCTGCGCTCAAGCCGAAATAGTCTCGATACCATGCTTGGGCGGGCCCCGTCAGATCATCCGACGAGGCGAAGTCGAGTCGCATCACCCCGTCAACGATGCCGGTGTAAATGGTTGACGAGGAGGGCGACGGGGAGGACATGGTGTAGATTGGTCCGCGATATTGACGATCTACACGCGAGCGTGCTGCTTTCGAGTTCCAGCGGCCAGAGGAGGAGTTTGTAAGGAAGATTGAGAAATCTTTGCGCGGATAGGTGATGGTGTCTTGGAACCCGTTGAGGTATGGAGTGGAGCCGTTCGAAGACCGACGAAGATCATTTGGAGGAGAAGGAATCTGAGTATCCTTGTGACTGTAGGCGCTTTGCATGCGGAGGTCGTAGATCTTGACCACGGCGTCTCCGCCTGCCCCTGCTAGAAAACGATCCTGGCCGAATGGATGTATGCAATAAATGGGATTCGTATCGATTGTGTCTCGGTAGGTATACACGAACGGCTGGTGCGAGCGTAGATCGTGAAGTCTAGTTAGGAAGGTCAGAAGACATGCAAATAACCGAGAAACATAAGGGAAAAAAGTACCTGATGCAGCGGTCACCCCAGGCAGCAAGAAACACTTGTCCGGAGGATTCTCTAGTGAATTGAGCAGTGAGAGGCGCGATTGCGCTCACGTTGGCCTTTCGACGTAGGCCGATACTTTCCCCGATATCCAGGGAGGTCACACTGATCTCGCGGTTAACTGATAGTCGTTCTTTCGAAATCGTGGCGATAGTCAGAGAATTCTCCTGGCGTCCCGTTCCATACGCAATACACTCCGGCGACAGAAACTTGGAATACTTGCTACGTGCCGTGCCGTCTGGAGTGATCTTGCAATGCGCAAACGACTCAACTTCGGGTTCTCCCGTTGTCGTCTGATAGAAGACAATGGACCCATTGTCCAAATGGGCCGCCAGAATAGGCTCGTCACCTCCGCTTAACTCTGTGCGCTCAAGTCCATGGCCGTTAGTCAAGAAATGTTGGTAGTATTTGTGAGACGCCGTGTCCGGCGAAATCGCAACATGACATAGGTCACCGTTCAGGCGACCAAATATGATGTGCTCGTCGCCTGACTTTCTGGTATGATGTTCTTGTTTGAGGAGATGTACACCACAAATGTCATGGTAGCTGCTGATCTTCGTCTCCACATCGTTAAACATGAACCACTTCTCTCCGCCGTTATACGTGGGCTGCCGAATCCGCAAAACTAACTCATCTGCAGCGCCCCAGACGAGCACCTCCTTTCTTTCCGACCAGGAACCACCCGGCCAAGATTCATATGAATCAATCGAGGGTCGATACCCATGTGTAGGATTGTCCTGCCGTGTGCCCCGATGGGATCCAACCTTCACTGCATCTCGTGGGGGGAGGACGAAGCGACAAAGCAGTCCGAGTCTGTCTAATGCTCGGGCACGCGCCGTGAGCGCCTGAGTTGCATCCTTCCAAAAGGGAGGCGTCTCAACAAAGGGGAACCGGTTCTGGAAATGTGCATGGAATACCCGCCAGTCTTCAGCAGCGATGACCTTGTGCAGGCGTTGACAGGTCTGAGCGAGGGCGGCCAATGAGCTGGCAGACGGAAGATATGTTGCTATCACGTATATTATGTCCGACGGTAAATCGGACAGCAGCATTTCGAAGTCGGTCTCAGCGCAGTGTTTCTATTAAATCAAGCAATGTATGTAGAGGACGTAAGGAATGATGTTGATCCTTTAAGAACTTTAGCAAATATTGCTTGTAGAGGATTCCAGATGTTTGAGTAATAGCCGAAAAGCATACCTATAGTGTGTATTGAAGTGTCTTCAAAGAAAAATGTCCATATACTGTTGTAAAATGTCTCATCATTATGTTTCCATAGCGATCAAGGGCATTTTCTGTGGATTTGAGGAGGTAGGGCTGTCAAGGCCCATCAGTCACCGCGGCGATATCTTATGTTGAGGAGTCATGGCTTGACTCATCCAGCAACACTTATTATTTAGTAGAAACTCAGATAAGTCATAGGAGGATATGATCCCCAGTTGCCTTTATGAACGGTAAAGTGAGCAACATCCAGAACCAAGCCTGACGTAAGGGCCTGAGAAAATCAGTAAATATAACCAGTTAACTTATTGTGTGCCTCCTTATGTCATCATCGGTGCCTTTGTCCGCTATTGTTTCCTTATCGCCTTATCAGCGTGCCTTATCTCTGTGTGCTCATGCGGGGGGTGTTGGAGTACGGAGTACTCCAACGGTTCAACCCGATGTTCGTAAGTTCGTATCGCTTTGAAATCCACTCATTAGTATCTATTACTAAAAGTCCAAGACAACGTTCACTGAGTCACATTACTGCTGTACCGCTCGAGTTTCTCTTCGCCGTCTAGGAATCCTCATTCTGTGGCAGCAGAGTTCCCCCATGCGGGGTTGCGTATATGGAATCCTCATACGGTAGGTCCACCCTGTTATGGCAGTCCCTACCGTCCAACTAGTTCTACGGAGTGAAGTCAACTGATACAGGTATATAGGCGTATAAGTATCTGCGGTTGAGTTGGTTATGAGCTTTCGTACCGCCACTCTGGTTGATGCGGCATCTTGAGAACCCCAGGTAACCTGAGTTGGCTTGTTATTTCGACTAAACCCGCGAAGATGGTGGTCTCTATATACACATCGCTTTCAATTGCGGTTTTGCTACTTTTTGTAGCTTACAAAGCAATTGTGTATCCAGTCTTTCTATCGCCGCTCTCAAAGATACCGAATGCACATTGGTCAGCCCCCATCTCACCTGCTTGGATACTCTGGAAGCGTTTTCGAAGCCAGAATAATCGTACAATCCAAGCGGCTCATGAAAGACTTGGGCCCATTGTGCGGTTGGGTCCTTCAGAAATCTCGATAAATTGCGTTGAAGGAGGTATCAAGACGGTGTATAGCGGAGGCTTTGAGAAGCATGAGTGGTATCCTCGGGTCTTCGGATCGTTTGGGTAAGAGACCTCTGGAGGTAGCAAGGTGAAACTGCTGACTGGAGCACGACATTGTGTAGAACCGTCAGCATGTTTACCATGACTGGAAGCAAAGATCACTCGGTTCGCAAGAGGATGTTATCCAACATCTACAGCAAGTCGTTTCTTCAGTCGTCACCTCATATGCGTCTTATCTCGAGGACTATAGTATATGACCGTCTTCTTCCAATTCTATACGAAGCAGCCACTTCAAATAGACCTGTCGATGTTCATGACCTCAACCAGGGACTGACAATGGACTTCGTATCAGCATATCTATACGGCGTCAGAAATGGCACCAATTTCCTTCAGGACGCGCCTTACAGGCAAAGGATGCTCCATTTATACCAGAGCAGGAAGCCATTTGAGTTCTATCACCAGGAAGTTCCTAACCTTCTTTCTTGGACAAAGTCTTTGGGTATCCGCTTGATACCAAGATATTGCGATCAGGCCAACGAGATCCTTGACTCTTGGGGGCTGGGACTGTGCGATAAAGCAGAGGAATCGCTAAAGTCAAATAGACTTGAGGATGAGCCGGCCGTGTATAAACACCTCAAGCAGATGATATCGAAGCACCTGCCTGAGAATCAAAATGACGTGGAATACGCGCGGATCCTCGAGCAGCAGCGGCTTGATATTGCCTGCGAGATGTACGACCACCTGACGGCGGGTCATGAAACCAGCGCCGTCGCTCTTACGTATCTCCTTTGGGAACTCTCGAAGCGCCCTGAGTTACAGGACGCTCTTCGGGAGGAGCTTTCCACCCTTGAGCCAATGATTATCTTCCCTCGACCGTCCGAATCTGCGGAGTTGCCTCCGGCAAAATCGGTTGACTCCTTGCCGCTGCTTGAAGCAATAGTCACGGAGACACTGCGCCTCCATGCTCCAATTCCAGGAATCCAGCCTCGAGTCACGCCGTATCCGTCGTGCACTCTGGTGGGATACAACAACATCCCTCCTAAGACTAGGGTCAATGCACAAGCTTATTCCCTTCACCGCAATCCCGAGGTGTTCCCAGACCCTGAAATTTGGGAACCTAAGCGGTGGCTGAAAGACGTCAATACTCCTTCTGAGTTAGAGGAGAGAAGGCGCTGGTTCTGGGCTTTCGGAAGTGGGGGAAGAATGTGTGTAGGCAGTAACTTGGCCTTGCAAGGTAAGGGAGCATTTAGGTCACACAAAAGTCTCAAGCTGACGTGACTGCAGAGATAAAATTAGTGGTGGCTGCTGTTTACACTAATTTCAAGACTTCAATCGTCAGTGACGATAACATGGAAGCGATTGATGCATATACCGTGAAGCCAACAGGAGAGGAGCTGATCCTCAGATTTGAACTAGTTGAGTAGTCGATAGCGTCAAGTCGAATGTGCGAGACAATAATGTTTTTGGCCATGTTATTATACAACTAACCTACTATAATCACATATGCATGCCAGGCATTGAATTGAAATCGTACAGCTTCATACCTGCATGATCACCGACTATGGTCCAACTTGGTATTATTCCTGTTTCCAGCTTTGAACTTCTGAAGCATATGGCGAAGCCAACCTGGATACATTGATGTCGTTCACAAGTGAAGTTCTGCTGCTTCCTGAAGGATAACTGCTTTCATACCGCTGTTATGCAGCCATCTTAGGCTGTGTTAGTCAAAGTCGAAGGTTGAAAGGAATATGGCAGTATGTTGTGTGGAATCATGAGACCTGATGACAAACAAGGTATATGAATTGGCAGATTAATGTACAGATACATATACAAACTCCCACACCCCCTGACATAAAAGCACAGCCTTAAGTTGTCATTGCCGTAAATCGAGACCCAAACTCCGGTGATAGTGTTTTGACTTCTCCCTCAAGCACAACTGTCCATAACCCAGTGCTCCCCAGACCTCTGTTATTCTGTCAAGCCACCGTTGACGAAATCGAGTCTGGGTCCAGAAGTGCGTAACTGCTGCAATATTTGCGACAGTGAGTGCAACATCGCAATTCGTGGGACGAGCTGGTTTATCCAAGACGACCCTCCTTCTTCTGAGGACCGACGACCTTGGGATACATTCTCATAAGGTGGTAGTTGATGGTGTTCTTCTTGTTGCCCTTGGGTTTCTGCAGGAGAAGACTCGTCGTTAGCACTGAACGTTGAAACATGATGGAGACCGAAGTAGAGATAGAAACTATGGTTGACGTACCGGTCCATCCATGCACTGTCTCAATTGTTGCTCCAAAGCTGCGCAGCCCTCCACAGAGCCTCCAGAGGATGCCCAGCAGCCTATCATGCGACAGTTAGCTCTTGACTCGAGGCGCAGAGTTCAATTGCGGACGATTGGCAAGGATTATAAAGCTCCATGAAAGCCGCGACAATTGCCATAAGTAGATGAGGGACATACTCAGCATAGACGACATGATCGTCACGCAGGGATTCTGCTCATGTTGATTCGGACGCCGAACCCGCAGATGAGGAATGGTCTGCAGGCGGACGGGGTTGAGGCGAGTCGAGACGCCCTTGGGAGGCATTTTGACAGTCAAATTGAGACAATATTTTCTCAGACTGTTGCACTCGGAGAGCCGAAAAGCAAGAGCAGCAGCGTAGTTTGAGCCCTCAGCCAAGAACCCTTCAACCTTGCAGTGTCAGGAAATTGTCGGGAAACTTTCGGAGGTGCCAAGACTTTCGGTGGCTGCGGCGGAATGGCTGACATAAACACTGCCGGAGTTAACTTAAGTTAGTTAACTAACTAACTTAGTTAACTTATAGTTATGAAGCGATAAGCCCGACGAGCTTCTGCATTGCAGAACTTCTCAAGCTCTCTTCTCCAATTTTGTTGAAAGGTTCGTTGTGGCTTTTGATTCTTTATAGATATGAGCACAAGGCATACAACTATATTCAGAAGCACTACGTCGTTATACCGACCCACGAGACAGATTCACAGAGCTTTCTCTACAGCGAGCCGGAGGCAAAATGCGGGCTCTCAGACGAATGCAAGCAGTGATGCTTCACATTCACAGGGTAACCCTGAAGAAGAAAGCGCCATGCAGAGAAGGTTATCCGAGATGACCGAACAAGCTATGCTAGAAGGAGGCCGGTCAGCACAAAGGAACATAGAGCAGGCGGGGTTCTCGGAAGATCTCAAGAAGCGGCTGCAGGAACGAATAGCAGCAACTGCGTTCAAAAACGAATATGCTGCAGCTCATTCAATCGTCGATATGCCGGTAAGTTGATACAAGGACGCAGTTCATACTACAGACTTTGGCTGACCAATTGAAGGAAAGTGCAGGTCAAGGTACTCGAGACATCGCCGGCGCTGCTCCTTGGACAGGGACGGAAAGCCTCCACGACGCCACCCTGCGCATGTTAGATAGTTCAAAGAAGCCGATGCGGGTCCCTTACAAGATTCCTCAGCCTGCTCCGGTTGATATGCGCATTAGTCCCAAACCCTCAAAGTCCCCGGGCCTCCGAATCGCCGATGCGAAAGAGCGCAGCGCCACCTATACCCTGAGTCAAAGCCCCGGGATATCGGGAGACGAGCGTGAAGCCATGCGAAGGGAGATGAGCGAGAGATTCACCGCTGGTGCGCGGCCGATGCCGATGACCCTACAAGGATTATCATCTCTTGCAAACGAACGGATAGAGGATGCAATTGCGCGTGGTCAGTTCAACAATATCAAGCGAGGCAAAGGCGTCAACGTTCAGTCAGATCACAATGCAAATAGCGCGTTCATCGACACCACCGAATATTTTATGAACAAGATCATACAGAAGCAGGAGATTGTACCACCATGGATCGAGAAGCAACAGGAGTTAGCGAGGGAGGTTGATAGATTTCGACAACGTTTGAGGGTTGAGTGGAGACGACATGCAGCAAGGTTGATCGCTAGCGAGGGAGGGTCTCTAGAAGCTCAGATGAGACGTGCCCAGGCTTATGCGGCAGCCGAAGCTCGACTGGCGGAGAGAACTAAGATTGAGCAAGCGTTTCGGGATACGGAAGGCACTGCATCGTCTACACCACCGGATGAAACGACGAAGACCGAAACAACCTCAGACTCCGATGAGAATCAGCTACCGCACTTTTCGCCCCTACGTGATCCACAGTACCTCTCAACCGAGCGTTCGTATCATGAGCTTCAAATCAAGCACCTTAATGCCTTGACTCGCTCGTACAACCTTCAAGCACCACCCGTCGCCCAGAAGCCGTATCTCAATCTGGAACGGGAACTAAATAATTGCTATGCAGATGTCGCACCAAGTTTGGCTGAGGAGATCAAACGCCGAGCTACAGACAGAGCCAGCCCTCGTGTGCCGACAGCAAAGTCAAGCACCAATAAGGTACTTAGTACCTTCAGTACTACTCAGACTTCCCGTGTCTACGACGAAGACGCTTCCAAAGGCTATGGATTCAAGGATCTCTGGCGTGACCTGTTCTCAAAATAGAACGAAAGGTAAGCCAGGTGTACATATTGTCTGAGATATGTTATGTACGATATGAGTGGAATACACCTTGGACTGGATTCATCGTGCTATTTCTATTAATTCTGGCCAGGGTGATGAGACAATTTACTCAGTATATTGATAAGTTTGATTTTTTCTAAGAATACTGCCAAGGGAGAATGTGCTGCGCACACGTCTAGGAAACGCTGAAGAACAGATGCTTGATCTCAATAATGATAACAAGTCATGTCACATGAGGAAATATTGAAAGCTCAAGGTCGCCGCTGTCTTTCGAGCCACGACACCAGAATTGCAGGAAGCTGTTTCTCTATGACCCCGTTCGACACGTTGGGGGATTCTTCCACCGCTGCACGACGGGCATCCCGCAAGTCAAGCCAGAGTAGGGTTACTGCCTTTACAGAGTAGAAAAGGCCAACACAACCCACAGCCATCCAGAGAACCTCCAATATCTGAAACTTGGCGCTCTTAGGTGCAAAGACAAAACGAATGAGCGTCCAAACGTGGAATTGCAAGATGGCGATGACCAAAGAAACTGCGAGCGCCATTGTTGCGATGCCAGCGCGTGTGGCGGATCGTCTCTTTTGCTCTCTGCGTCTTGCGATGTCTGCTTGCCCACCGGAGGATGCTGTATGCCGTCGGACGAAGATTGGCAGATATATAGCCACCATAAACATGGACGAGAGGACAGACACAGCGACAATCAAACTGACCCGAGAAAGATGGAAAGGCGGGCCACTGTCTGGCGCGGCTCTTTTCGACATTTGGTGATGCTCATTATCGCCTGGCGAGAATGACTCGATCGCTGATAACGCTCTTCTTTTCAGAGGGATTATGAAGTTATGCCATGGAATCTTAGGCCAACCCCCAATTGGCCATGCAGCCTGTGCCAGGTCGGAGTCTCCGAATGGGAGACGGGAGATGAGCTCTACATCGCCAACCCAGATTTCATTGATTCCGTTCCCTTTTTCATAGTAGTGGTCTGATTTGACACCGTGGACCGCGGAGACTTTGTTTCCCATAGTGGCAGGAGGCGAACGGGAGTACGAGTGGAAGATATAAAGAAGCCAGTGCAACTAACGCTCAAGAGGTCCTGTTGCCAACGAATGATCCGAGTGATTCCATTGCAAAGAGGATGCATGTATATGTCTGCAGCCAATAGATAGATCTCCTGGAAGCAAAATAATTAGGCAGTACATCGTTGTTTCCTAATTGAGTAATGCATTAAGCATCACAGCAATTGTGGCCTCAGGCAAGAACAAGAAGCCTTTGACCAAGAAGTATAGCCTGATATGGGTTAGCGGCTGTGTCTCGGATGGCCGAGCCTATCCAATCAACTTCCAGAGTCCTCTGGAGACAATTGTGGCACATTGGATCTGATGCCTAAGGCAAAATATCTAGATAGAGGTAGATACGTTCTTTCGAAATCCTCAATATCAGGCTCTACAATAGTCCGGCTATCTTCTGAAACATCGACTCTTCTAATCAGTTCTCTTCAGTAAACGATGACTGACTACCTGTAATTAGCATAGTCACGTTGCTCGATCATCACTACGAAGTGTCTTCATGGCCAACGATAGGATGTGATGGCGTGCCGTGTGTGCATGCCGGCGCGTATTTGCACCAACCGCCGTCGTCGGTTGCGTCGTCTCAAAAGTGTCACAGTCTTCTTCAAACCTTCTACCAGTAAACCCTGCAGGTCTCACGGCTCTTCCTTTAGTCTTCACACTATCACATCCAATAAGTCGGCAATATATCCACTATCCCCCCTCTCATTCAAGGATGTGTGCCATTTTGTCTGTTTCCGTAAGGGATTTGCGGGCTCATTCGCAATCACTCGATATGTATACTGGTCATACTTAATTGCTTGTTTTCTGGCGGATACGAAAGATGATGCTCTTGTTAATGTTGCTCCTTTTCACTCTTTGTCATATTGCTACTGCTGGCTCAGTATCCTTTGGAGATTTGACCTTGAACCTGGACCTGGATCGTCGGGGTATCGCTTTGTCCACGGAACCTCCCGTGGATCAGTCCCTACTGGCAATTCAGATAGGAGGCATTGTTGGAGCATACGTGATCTTCGTTGCAATACTCTTGACTCTATTGCTCTTCGTGGGACGACGACTACGAAGAGCGGTACAAGCATCGAACTACACTCTACAGGTTGAGATGATGAAACCTAGCAAACAAGCCGTTAGCATGGATCCCAGTCCTGTCACCCCAGTCTCAGCTCGTCTTCCAAGTCCAACTGCACAAAACGGCTTCAACAGGTCCTGGGGCAGCTTGGCTAACGGTCCAAGACCCCATGTCTCCGGCAATGGCAGCGCTGCTACGATTGATGAATCCGTGGTTGCCATCGATCGGCGCAGGGCTCAAGAGGAAATGGAAATGCTCTATGCGGCAGTCATGGAGCACGACGCACAGCGGGCGGCCGGGATAGATACCTCGAAGCAAGAGTGGGAAGTTCAATCGCCAGACAGTGTGCACACCAATCCGTTCACAGATCGTTCCTCGCGGACATCAGAAAGGCCCTCGATCTCACAGATGAAGCCCCCCGTGAGCCCAAAGAGCTCGAGGCTATCGAAGATATCGTCCCTGTCCCTGTTCAATTCAAACTCACGTCCGCAGTCAAAAGCGGGCAAGCTTCGTTCTCCTCGGCTGCCTCTACGTAATCTGTCCATTTCCTCACCAGTGGGCTCTCCTGATTTAACCGCGCCGAACTCTTATGGCGAGGACCAAATGCCGTTGACCCCTCGCCTCTACAACCCGGCTCGTCCTCCAGCACCCCCAATAACAATCAGTCAGGCATCTAGTCAAGTGTCGCTAGGAAAGCCCCCTGGACGAGCTCCTGCCCCAGCTCCACTGAGTCTATCTACAGCGAGCCACGGCTCGTCTTCCCTCCCATTCCGTGACGCATTTCCGTTGCAGAGTGCTCCTCCAACCAAGACGACGGTCATAGAACGTCCTTTGAAACCACTAAACGGTCCTCGGACGGGATTGCCGACACCCTACAGTCCATATATGCCTTTCACCCCTGTTACTCCCCTCACACCCAGCCGTATCGTGACCAAGCGACAGCGCAAGCGAGAGACTAAGGAGAATGGCTTGCGTGTCTTGAACGAAGATGATATAGTCAAGGACGACGGGGATATGTGGGGATACTGATCAGATTGCCTGGTTCGAGCCTATTTTTGTTCGTGTTTTTGGCATTATTTTGTGGCAGTTCGATATTCATGTCGGACTGTCATGGGGATTAGATAGGTATAGCTCACTGAGATGGCACCTGGTGTTTTTGCTTTGGTTATCTGCGCTTTATCAATTGGGAGGTAGTCTGACTAAATGGAAGAAGTTTGTATTTGCATATTTGCACTATTCGAATCGACATGATTTCTGGCAGTCGGCATCTGAGAATGGTACTTCACATGTAGACGATGTAAGAGTGTACGCGAATATGCACAAATGAAAATAGTTTTTATACGTTTATGCTCATCATAGAACTTATGCGATAATTATGTATGAAACAACGATATTCGAGTCATCAGAATTATCATGTCACACTTACAATAAACACAGGTATTCGGCCCCGCCCTATCTCCAAAGTCCGAGCTGAGCCAAGGCTTGACTTCCGTCATCTGTTCTGGACAACGCGAGAATCGCCGACCGGTTGCGGGCTTAAGACTTTGGATCCCACCCAAATGCGGGTCACAGGGTGCGCAAATCGCCCATCATGAACTGTCTTGCGTATGCTTTGCGCGATTATTTATTATTGTGGTCGAACCAGACTACCTTGATAGTCTATTTATTTATCGAAGCAAGTCGAAAACGTGGATGACTGTTGCTCTGACTTAGTCAGGCTGACGCTTACCTCGTATCACTCATCCTCTCTTCATCCTCTACCACGCTCTTGGTCTTCTTCAGGTATTACTAGAATTTTCTCCTAGACAGTCTACTTGATCGACGTCTTCTCTCGTTATGCCGCTGACCATCCTCTCCCAAGCGCAGCTCCGCTCGCTGTTGCTGTCCCTGAACCGCGATGAGGTGTCCTCTTTACAACAAAGCCTCGCCCAGGCCCTACTAGACTACTCGACCGGAAGCCAGGAACAGGGCTGTGCCGCTACTTACCAACCTCTAAGAACCGCTATCACCCGGCAGAATGGCTGCACGACACTGTTTATGCCCGCCAGTACCGGCCGAACGATCGGCATGAAGATGATTTCTCTACAAGACGGGGGTGCTGCAGGGTGTGCTGTGGAAGGGGCTTTTGAGATTCCCGAGGGAACGAAGACTGCTTCAAGATCGCGGTCGGCAGGCCCAAGGAGCTCCATGACGTCCCTGTCGTCTGAAATGAGCGATCTGTCTATATCATCGCAGGAAGAAGGATCGACGAGTTCATCTAGCAGCCGATCGCTCAGGTCTGGCACTGTGAATCGACAATCGGTTGGCTCGAGCTCGAGCTCGGGCATCTCCAAGACACTAGGTGCATGGCCCGGAGCCGGCACTCGAGACACCTCGCCGCAGGGCACTGTGACGTTGCTGGACGCCGACAGCATGCCGTTCGGGCTGATCAATGCTCACGAGCTCACGCCGTTCCGGACGGCTCTGGCCACGATGATGATTTTCAACAAGCGCAAGAGAGTGCGCACTGTGGTGGTTTTCGGGGCGGGTAAACAGGCTTATTGGCACATTCGGTTGGCTCTCACGCTGCGTGCAGCCGATATCAAGCGGGTCGTTATCGTCAATCGATCATTTGAGCGGGCGGCGACGCTTCTCAAGGATATCTACTCACCTGACAACTCCAGCTGGCGCGGTGATGTGAAATTCTCCGCGGTCAGCACGGATTTCGGCGAGTACGACCGTATCATCCACGATGCTATCCATAAATCGGACGCTATCTTTTGCTGTACTCCGTCGATCGAGCCACTTTTCCCGGCGGAGCTTCTCACCTCTCGCGAAGGTCGCCGAAAGGGCCGATTCATCAGCGCCAT